GAAATAATTTTTACACCACAAATAAAAACTGAAATTAGAATGGGAAAATGAATTTTACTTAACTGAAATTTGTATAATTTTAAGGTAATGAGAATTTATTATTAATAACGTAGGTAGGTCGGCATGTTGAAAGTCGTTCTTAATGGATAGTGAATTATTAAGATTTTATCTACTTCAATATTTAAAAACTCTATAAACTGCATTTTTTGTATTTTATTATAAATTTTATTTTTCTTTATGTTTACAAACGTTTTTTTTTAATTTTAATACGAATTTGACTGTTTTATAATTTGGATTGCTATTATTGACTTTATAATAGTTGAAACAGTTACATATACCCCAGAAAAAAAAGAGGAAGCCCTACAAAAGAAATGAAATTCTATCAAAATTATAAAATATAAATAGTCCATTACACTTAGTCCTTTCACTATAAAAAGTTGTGAAATTATTCACTATAGAAAGTTGTAAAACCTAGACAGTTATTTTAGTTAGTGTCTATGAAAACAACAATTTATTTACATTCAACAACTTTCCTATAAATTGCTTTCTAGTGAATTTTCTATCAAGATTTATAGTGACATGAATATAAGACATTACAATATTTAATTATAATGAGTTGGTGCTCGCACGACACCATACCTATGGAAGACTAGGTAAAAGAGACTACTCGGATTATAATTATTGTAGACTAAGTAAATCTAAACAGTACAGTTAAGAGTATTTTAGTAAGTAGAATAATGCTACCGGGCAATTGCCAAGTCATTATAATTAAGTATTATAAAAATGAAGATGTCTAATATTGACATGGTCACTATAAGTATTAATAGGTAAGAGATTAGATAAAAAATGTATAACAAAGTGTTGTTGAGTAGGTGCTTCCATAGACACTAACTTAACTGTGTTGGTACTTTTTGTAGTGGAAGAACTGCGTTAATTTGTAGTGGAGGAACTGTGTTGATACTTTTTTAAAACTTATATTTTATGATTTTTGATAGGATAAATTTAAACTGAAGGTATAAAATAAAACAATAACTAAAACGACGGACATTTTTTTGGACATATTGGACATATATTTATATTTTTCTTTTCCGTATGTGTACATAAATAAACCTTTTCATGTTATGGAAATCAGACAAAATCCCCGTATCTTTTGCGACGTAGAAACAGACCCCTACTCCCTCCCCCACATAAATACAAACAAACAATACGAAATCGCGGAAAGTTATAATATCCTTTTGCCGCAAACGAGCAGCAGGTTCGAAAATAAAAGCTCTCGCATCCGTCGGAGCATCGCTGGAACAAAGACAAAGGGCTGCCACCCCTGATAGTTAGAGACGGAACTGGCAACGCGCACCCTTAATATGTGCGTTAATTATTAACGGAACCGGGGGATTACCTGAGTGCGTAAACAATGAGCGCAATGGGACATTTACGAAAACCGAACTGTTCATTAATATTTACAAATAGATTTTTTCTAAAATATTAATTTTTTCCCAGTTAATTTTATTAATTATCTGTTGATCATTATAGCATCAACAATTTTTCCTAATTTCTTTAACTGTATGTTCAGCCAGGTTTCGAGAGTTGTTGTCTGTATATAACTCATAAAAGCATTACTTCTATAAATACCACCGAATGGATATAAACAGTTAACAGTCCAACTTTTCCATCCGTAGAGATAGGGTTCCCAATTTTGCTAATTGGTGTTCGACAAGCGGTCGCGCTCGCCACTTCAACCAATCAACCAATACTCCTATAACACGTCCTTAACATCTATCTATACAAATGACCAACCGCTAAATCAACCAATCAGAAGCTCTATTTACGCAAATAATTTAGCATTAGTTAGCCAGGATAACGATTTCTATACAATTGAAGATAATCTAGCACTACACCTGACTGCGCTAACTCAATATAACAGAGATAATAGCCTTAAACTAAAAGCTTTGAAGACTGTTACTAGCTTGTTCCATCTAAACAACAGGGAAGCGTTAGAATAATAAATGTCAATTGGAACAAATGTCCAGCCACTAAATCAACACATCTGAAGCTCTATTTACGCAGACGATTTATCATTAGTTAGCTACGACAACGATTTCTGAACAACTGAAGATAATCTAACATTACACCTGACGGCGCTTGCTCAATATTACCGAGTAGCCTTAAGACTGTCACTAGCTTGTTCCATCTAAATAACAGGGAAGCTAACAGAGCAATAAATGTCAGTTAGAACGGCAAGTAACTCAGACTTTGCCCAAGGCCAACTTATTTAGGTGTCACATTAGATCGGACCCTGTCATTTAAACCACTTGTTGACAAGACACACTCTCTACACACTAGGGCACACTCTCTGCAAGACTACAACTACTAGACACACCCTCTACAAGAAAAAACCTTTTGGGAAAGCTGACAAGTTCCACCTGGGGGACCAATCCACGCACACTAAGAGCTACTGTGGTTGCACTGTACTATTCTGTTGCTGAATATGGCGTACCAGTTTGAGAACGCTTCTGCCATGCCTAAAAGATAGACCCGATGTTGAATCAATCATGCCCTCTAATCAAATGCCTTAAACATACATCGGCCTAACAGTTACACCTACTCAGTGGAATAGCTCCACTCCACATAAGGATACAAGTATCCAGCCTGAAAGAGAGGAAACAAGCTTAGTTTCCTCTCTTTCAGGCACCCCCTTTTCGGACGAAACACCGCTAGACCAAAGACCAGAAAAAGCTTCCATTCTGCCGTCCAGTCACTTGATCGCAGCACGGCATCCGCAAAGATACTGAAGTGAAGAAGAACATACAATGAGGCACCTTCTCGTATGCCCAGATCTTCCCAATATTTAATTAACTTACTCTCTTCTAACAAAAAGCTACACTGCCTAGAAGTAAAACATAGCAGTATCATTTGGTAATTAGATCAGCACAAATACCATTTTTATTACAATATACAGGGTGTTTCAAAAAAAATGTGCCATCTCTCGTGGAAAGATTCCTCACGTAAAAATATGATTTATTTTTCATATCAACATAAGTCCGATTCTGCTTTGTTCCGTAGCTACAGGGTGTGAAAAGTCTTAATAATCTTTCGATTGGTTATAATTTTCTTTTAAGTACTTTTAGTGATTCGAATGAAATTTTGAGGGTAATAGTTACTATAAGTGCTACATATTTTAATGCTAAAAAAGTGTCGATAAAATCATCAGGGAAAAAGTGGCTCGCCAATATAACTTTTTTATTTTTTCAGATAAGAAAACGAGATTTGGTATGTTAGTATATGACATAAATTAGGAATGAATGGCGTATTCAATTGTTTTTGGTCACTTCCTGTTTCACCAGAAATGACTACAACTTTTGATTTTTAAATGGCACCCTCGGTTTATTTTTACTTTATTCCATAGAAAATAATACTCTGAATAGAATGACATATTATATGTCAACTTTTGGAATTTTGGCTTAAATAAATATTGTATTTTAAATTTCAATCTAGAGTGCAATGGCTTGTGTTAAAAACAATAACTTTTAATCAAGGAGCCTTGGAAAAATAGATTTGATCGTCTAATGTTTTTCGTATCTTGTCCTGACCATGTTCAAATCGTATTAAATATAATCGTAAATAAATCGTATTATAATCATATCTGAAATTTTTCAAATGGAACGAGGGTGGCTCATTAGCATATTTTGAAAAAGTATTTTTTTACAAATAATTGGATACCACACACTTGGTATTTCGAGTCAAATTGTCGTTATGAACAGTGTCGTTATGAACAATGTTACAATTTCAAATAAAATACAATAGGTTTTGACTCTGACACCGATTTTGTAAGACTAATCACTAAAATAAAGTGGAAGCGACAGATAAACAACTATAAGTTAAAAGATTGTTTAATCAAAAACAAATGATAACAAAACAAAACATAAAGAAACAAAAATTCGTAACTGTGAAATGATCTAAAAAATATTACATAACTAAAAACAAACAAACGGCACCATCGACAGCGAAACCGGTGTTGATCTCGACACCGATGATTATCTCAACACCGGTATCGCGATGAACACCGGTGTTGTAGATGAACACCGGTGTCGAGATAAACACGGGTGCTGAAATGAACACCGGTGTTGAGATAAACACCGGTGTCGGTGTTGACACCGGTACACCGACTGAAACACCGGTGGTCATCAACACCCTAGTTCGTATTGGTAATAATAAATAATCACCAAAAATGTCAATTTATGGCGCTACTATTCCGTTAGAAATAATAATAAGTCGATTTCTTTCTGCTTTTTCTAAACACAGCCAGCCGGTTCCTCGTTTCATATCCGATCCACCCTCACTATTCCACCAACAAATGCACCGGTTAATTATATTAAAGACGTTCGGTAGAGCCCTAAGGGCGAACGGGAACGTATCCCGGGATCAACGAGCCGCAACGCTCCCTAATTTCAATAAGTTTTCCAATCTGGCAGAGCTGGGAAGGGACTTTTTCCATGAACGTCGAGAGTTTTCCGGCCGATTGGGCAGGCAGCAGTGAAGTTATCGAGATTTAGATTGTTTAAAGTTGCGAAATTGGGAAAAAGTTTATTTTAGTTTGGGAGTACCACCCCACAAGGAAAAGCAAATAGCACTAAAAAGGAACAATAAAAATATGATTCTCCAATTTAATCACCAAGACGTTGTTTGCGACTTCATTCTTGAAATTCTAACCGCCATATTAAGCTTACAATAAATAATGTATTCTGTGGCGTTAAAATGGTGAAAATCGCATCAAAATCTCATCATTAGTTTTTGATAAATGCTCTGACATACAAACAAATAAGCCATGCTTTTGATCATTGATTTTTATCTATATATCATCAATAGTCGACTCCGTCATATTTTTTTGAAGTATCTTCCATGTACAGACTTCAACAACTTTGATATTTGATGTCTTGAGAGTCTATTAGATAGTTATTTAATTTTGTTTACACTTATTAAGATTAATAAAATTATTTTTTCAGATCACTGCGGAAAGTGCAAAGCAGCAACAAAAAGATTAAATCTGAACAAGTATTGCAAAAGGGATTACGGTAAGTACCAATTGATTATTTTATATTTTGAATTATTAAAAACTATTAATATGTCATGGTTAAAATGACCAAGTAATTTAAATAGCGAGCTATCGGTTAAAAAATATAAAACAAACTTAAAAGTTTTATAAATAACATTACTCAGTTCTCAGGCATTGCAAATTAAAATACTTCCATACATTCGAAATAATTATAGTGACAAATCACTTGGAAATTGAATAACCAATGTATTATAATTGGACTAATGGATAGCAAGCGTATCAATTTTCAATCCTTTGTATCTGATTCGAATACGTTTGCACAAACAGTTTCATGAAAACATTACTGAAGTTTTAGAAATTTATATTTTTAGAAAATTGGTTCGGATAAATTGATAAAATAACTATTAAATTAAATTAACAACATATGCTTATAATATATATATACATAATAAAACTAGCTTTGTTATTGTTACACCCTCTACTTGTACCATAAATGAATCACATTTAATTAAAGTAAACGGCAAATCAATAAAACAAGAACTGCATGTTAAATTTTTGGGTGTACACTTGGACAATAACCTTTCTTGGGATGTTTACATAAATGAGCTGTGTAAAAAATAACATCAGTTTCCTATGCTATATATTAAAACAGGTGGAAGTTATGGAAATTATTAGTTCATATGATTATGCCCAAGTCGTGTGAAATATGGATTAGTTTTTTGGGGAAATTCATCGCACATACTGCGAGTGTTTAGGGTTCAAAAACGAATAGTCAGGACAATTGCTGGTGTGAGTAGAGCGCCTACCTGTCGATATGTTTTTTAAAAAAAACTTATGTTGACTGTGCCGTCTTTATATGTGTTTGAAGTGTTGATGTTTGTCAGAAAAAATGTTGCAAAATTTTCTCAAAATAAGCAGTTTCATGATAATTCAACTCGACGCCGCGCAGTGACCTGATATAATATCCGATACATTCTTTATTCTTTAACAGCAGTGGAAAGTAATGTGTATTATGTAGGTATGAAATTGTAGAATAGCTTACCTCTTACAATTAGGGAAATATCTGAGCCAAAGTCATTTAAAAGCAAACTGTGCAATTTTTTGGTTGACGAAGTTTTCTATAGTCTGGAGGAATACCATACTCATAGTAGAGAAACTTAGCGTAACAATTTTTTTTATTTTTTTATTTTTAATGTCGTTTTTTTTATTTTGTATTTTTAATATCGTTTTTTGTAGACTTGATCTATACATGTAAAACATGTCTTAGGGATTTAATAAAGTATTCTGTTCTGTTCTGTTCTGTTCTGTTCTGTTCTGTTCTGTTCTGTTCTGTTCTGTTCTGTTCTGTTCTGTTCTGTTCTGTTCTGTTCTGTTCTGTTCTGTTCTGTTCTGTTCTGTTCTGTTCTGTTCTGTTCTGTTCTGTTCTGTTCTGTTCTGTTCTGTTCTGTTCTGTTCTGTTCTGTTCTGTTCTGTTCTGTTCTGTTCTGTTCCATTCTAAATTCCATCGTGTGAACAAAACTGCGTTATTTGTCAGTCACATAATAGGTAATAATGACATTGCTAACTTTTTAAAATTTTGATAGTGTTACATTATCTTCCTCTACTTCCCTCTTCCATTTCCATCACCCGTTTCCTTCACTACTTACTCTCATTCTTCTTCGTATCCTCTTGTTTCTGCTCTTTCTTTGGCTTCTTTAAGTTCTGGTGGGATACCAGCGTAAAAATAGTCTTTGTTATTATTGTTTTCTGACTTTTCTATCTCCTTAAGCTACACTGTAATATCAAATAACCCTAAAAGTAAAAACTATGCTATTTTTTATTAAGATAAGGGAGTAACCTCCCCAAAACCTTCTAATCATTCTTCTTCTCTTGGGATAGTATTAACATTATGTCGGTTTAATCATCACCCGAACTATCTTCCACAGTTGACACATGATAGTGGAGGTTTTCGTCACTAATGAACAGAATATTGTGTGGAGCCCAGTATCCAGTGAGCCAGAAAGTGATAAGTAGGCAGAAAAAATGCGTAAAATAAAAAAAACTGGCAACTCGCAATCCACTCGAAATTGAAATAACATTACCAGACTGTGCTCCAATTTCGCAGAAGTAGACTTGTAAAAGATCTATTATACTTTTTTTTCTTGCAGTGCCGTGCCTCCCTTCAGGCGCTAGCGTTCTCTATTTCGTTGAAGAGTTCTCTATCTTTTGCTGTATGAAACAGTCTCTCCACTCCCAGACCGGACCAGTTCCGTATGTTTCTGAGCCATGACAGTTTTTTTTCGACTTACCCATCTTCTACCTTCGACTTTTCCTTGAATGATCGGACGATGAACATAATATTTGGTGCCGCGCATTATGTGTCCAAAGTAGCTAACGTTTCTGGCTTTGATGGTGGTTAAGAGTTCCCGATCTTTGTTGAGCTGTCCAAGAACTTCTTAGTTACTCCAACCCAAGGAATCGACGATTCTCCGGTAGCGCCACATTTCAAAGGCTTCTATTGTATTTATATTTTCGACTTTTAGCGTCTATGTCTCGCATTCGTAAAGAAGAGTGTACCATATATAAAAACATAGTGTCCGCAATCGGGTTTGCACCGACAGGTTTCTATTAGTGAGCGTGGTATTACATTTTTTGAATGTTTTACGTGCCATTTCAATTCTTGTCTTTACCTCTTCATCACATGTATTTTCACTATTTAGCTAGCTTCCTAAATATCTAAAATGTGATACTTGTTCAGTATCGTGGCCGCTATTTTTTTATCGAGATTGGATTAATTTGTATTTTACCCACAAACATCCATTTCGTTTTCTTGAAATTTATATCTATTAATACGCTATTTTCAATGTACTTTGTCTTAGCAGCATTTGCAAGTCTGCCATGCTTTCTGCGAAAAGATTCTAAGGAAGCAGTTTGATTATAGTATTGCAGTTTACCAAAACGCGCTTTTTGTAGTTGTTCACGTTATGCGATTTCAGATGCCAAAAGAGCTCTGTCTGTTTGACTCGATCAAATGCTTTTTCAAAGTCGATAAAGCACACATAGATGTTCTTGCGAAATTCGCAGCGCTTTTGTAACAAACACTTATTCTCAGGCAAAACAGGGCTTTACGTGTGTGAACAGGTCTGTTATACTAGAATTAAAGCGTACTATTTGGCTATTTGCTCATATATAAATACACTAGTATTTTTTTTGTGTTACTACTGACGGGAATTATCTGTATTAAAAGTCCCGTTTCTCTGGACCATATTTGGAGAATATTAACTAACTGTTCAGACAGCAGTTCAGGTCATTCAATAACTCCTCAACAATAAGAATCACTCCACAGTCCGAAGAGTTACCACCATAATTATAAAAGAATAATCTACCATCTCGATTACTAAGTTTTTGAATTAGAATAGAATATTCGTGCAATTACCAAGTCATTGTAATTATTACAGAAATAAAGATGACTAATATTGATACTAGAATTAGAATAAGTGGGAGGGGGGTTAATCTCTGCGACCTTAGAGATCTATTGTGTCCCCCTTTCTTGAGTTATAACTCATCATACAGTCCCAGGACTTCCTACGGAGATCCGTGTCCCTTACAGTCGAGGAGCTACGACCCAGGCCGGGTAGACGAAACGGTAGCTTGTGTCGCCTGTTGGGTTTAGAGGTAGGAGGTAGGCTCCCGACCCTTGGAGGAGGTGGTAGCTTGCATGCCACTTGCGGAGGATGGTCTCACGCAAGTGTCAGCCACCTCTCCTGTAGTTCTCTTTGGGTTTGGCCCCTTGGAACTTTCATTGTTACTGTTCCCAGTGTCGCTAGGGGGTTTCCCCACAGCTTCACCGGTGATGTTTTTATTACTATTATTACCAGATCTCATAGTGTTCCTATGAGTCGCTAGGGACAGTCGGTCCACTTCTACAGAGCCCCGCATGTAGAAGTAAGGGGTAAAATACAATGGGGTGCCCCCCCGGTGCCCCAAGGTTGAGACTGTCCGTAGCCCCGCCCGGTATCGTTGTCTTGGTGCAATTCCCTGGCCACGACACTACAGTCAGGGACAAGACGATGAGTGAGATGCTTCTTAGACCAAGCCAAGTGCTAGAGGGGATTCCCCCCAGCCCCTGACAATGAGCTTCCCCACTAACGACAAGGTCTTGCATCTCCTAGGGGAAGTAATATTGATACTAACAATTTATCACAAAATTATTGAATATGTGCTTAAAGACATACTAAATAAAGTAATTGTGTTGCGAGATTTGGCATTTTTTTACATTCTATGTTTTTGATGGGATCTCATTTCATTTTGTAGGTTATCCTCCTATTTTTTTCGCGGGTAATATATTATCATTCAAAATAATATTAAAGAAGTTTGACTAGCAATAATTAATAAACTTTGAATTATCGTATGAAATCAGATAATATCAAATGGATTAATTCTAGTTTTCTAGCGAATTGTGTTTCAGACTTTCGTTATAACCTAAATATCAACTTTAAAAATGTTCAATTCATCATTTTACCATTGCTTATTCAAAATAATGTTTTTGTCAATTTTACAAATATTTTATTTTTTAGCTCCAAAACTATAAGAGATATGTATAGGTCAGTATAATAAAAAATTACGAGATATGAGAGTAGTTTTCAAAAATGTAATGATATACTGGTTGTTCCATTTAAAATTACAAAGATGCTACCACTTTTTTCAATTTTTTTTTTAATGATCGAACAACACTGTAACGCTGATAATATTCTAGATAGATGGAGCAGGTGCCTTTATATAAAAATCCAAATTTTAAAAACAATCACCGGTCCTCCTATTACCATAGCCGGAAAGTCGGTTACAGGTAGCGGCTAGACAGCTAACTTTTGATTCATAAGGATATTTCGAGAAATGTCATTTTTTCCTTCCATTATAAACTTAAAGCTACCTAAAATTCGAAATTTGAAGTTAGTGACACATCTAGGAGTACCTTAGAATTTTGATGACGGCGAGTGAGTCACTGGCGAACTTAAAGAAGTTTGACTAGAAAAACATTTA